AAGCTCAAAATATGTGATATGAAGGATGAAGAGTGGTATGTTATGGGCACAAAATTAGGAAATTTTATCTAATGTACTTGCTGAAATACGAAGGTGTTACAATTACCCCATTGTTACTTTTGCCCCACCTCACCCTACCTAATTTCAGAGCTCTAGACCAAACAGTTTAGAAGATATTGAGCCCCAAAAGTTCGGCCCTAGAGGGAAAAGTCACCCCAACGGTCAGACGGCTATCTTTCGTCCTAGTTGAGCCAGGAAAGAAATGTTGGCCTCAAATGAAAGCTGACGGTAGGCTTAATCAGATTTGACAGGTTTTCGCTTTCCGTAGTTATCCTTGTTTCCAATTAAATATGATATGTATTTTCTTAATTTTCGTAAAGTGGGAATCACGGTAACACAATGAGCTCCAAATACGTTAAAATTGAACTTAAACTTAGCATGGATCCCCCAAAATTTTAATCTCCAAAAAAATACCATGAGAAGGTCAATGACTCTCTTACTGATAAGCAACATTGCAAAGAAGCAATATTTTTGTATTCCATCCGGAAATTTTTGAGTCAGATCCCTACTGCATATGAGGCATTCTGGCCATCCTTGGCATGGGAATCTTGGTGACAACCAGGCAAACCGCCAGAGACCAGTGATCAGCTGTAGTTCAATTATTCCACATTGTTTCAAGCATGAAATTTCTCAAATTCCAAAAATTCTTTCTCTTTCCTTTTTTTTTCTACTGGAGGTAAACGCCTAAGTAAAATGTATGAGTTATACCAATACAATGTTAATATGTCAGTTAAATCTTCTCACCAGGTTCAGCATTTAGACTTGCATGTACAGGGTTGTGCAAAAGTTCCCGTACACTTTGAAAATCTAAATTTTCCTCACTAAGCAACGGATTTTGGCGGTTCTGATGTGTTTTTTTTTTATTCTACGGACTTTTTTGATACGAAATGTTTTCTTTATAGTAAATTTCAGTCTTTATTTGATTTTTTTTTTCTCTGGAGCTATGACACCTAAAGAGAATCGAAGCGCTATCATCGCGCTGCACAGGCAAGGGATGAAGGCTGGAGCGATCGCCAGATCTGAACTCGATGGTCTGGTCGATCTTGGAACAAAAGATCTCGGGAATCCGTTTTTCGCAACACCGAGGTGCTGAAGGCGGCTTTGCGACGCGCTTGGAATGAAATCAACGTCGAACAGCGGGCAACCATCATTCGCAACTTTCCAAAGCGACTCCGAGCGTGCATCAAGGAGAACGGCGCCAATTTTGAGCACACGCTTAGAATTTGATTCATTTATCTTTTTCATGCTGTTCTATGTACATAATTATTCAGCTAACAAGCCGAGGTTAAGGTTTTATCAAAACTTTAACTTTATAATAAAAAAAAGAAAGAAAGAAGTGTAAGAGAAAGAGTAGAAAGTGTACGAGAACTTTTGCACAACCCTGTATATTTACACTAGTCGAGAAAGATACTCCAGCACTAAAACCTTACCACCTGAATACACCCCCCAACACTGATATTCGATTGTGTTACAGATTCAAGTAACTGTGGGATAGTGGTATCATTCCTCACCACTTGAGGAGGGCAAACCAATATCGTCAGATGTATTCGACTATCGGTGCCAAATCGTTAGGAAGACGACGGTCCGATAATTTTCCATCGTTTAGGATTCAATACCATTCAGTATTCAAACCATTTTCTCTAGATTTGTACATTTTACGATAAGCTGAACCGGGAAAAATGATTTACGATGTTGGTCTATTCATCTCCAGAGACATGTTCGACTGTGGAACTCTGTTCTAGCTCAATTAAGGCCTATTGTACCCGTTTGACCATTGTGGTGACTTCCCACGGGAGGGCTACCTAGGCGTTCAATATCTTCTATACCTTTTGGGCTAGAGCTCTGAAATATGGAATGCCATCATATCTCAGAGAGGTCATCATGCATGATGTTTTGCAACGAAATCCCAGTTGCAACCACAATTCCGATTACTTGAGTCAGAATGCCTAATATGTGGTAGGGATCTTCTGATTTAAAAATGTACTGACGGAATACAAAAATTATACATCTCTGTACTTACTACATATGTAGTACTTATTACATATGTGTACATATTAATAAGAGAGTCATTGACCTTCTCATGGTATTTTTTGGAGATTTAAATTTTTGGTGGTCCATGCTAAGTTCAATTTTAACGTATTTGGAGCTCATTGTGTTACCGTGATTCCCACTTCATGAAAATTTTAAAAATCCGTATCGTATTTGCTAGGAAACAAGGTTAACTATGGAAAGCAAAAACCTGTAAAATCCTGATTAAGCTTACTCTTAGCTTTCATTTGAGGCCAACATTTCTTTCCTGGCTCAACTAGGGCGAAAGATAGCCGTCTGACCGGTGGGGTGACTTTTCCCTCTAGGGCCGAACTTTTGGGGCTCAATATCTCCTAAACTGTTTGGTCTAGTGTTCTGAAATTAGGTATGCCTTCATATCTCAGAGAGTTCATCACGCATGAAAATTTTCAACAAAATCCCAATCGCACACGCAACCACGATTTTGATTATTTGATTCGGAATGCCTCATTTGTAGTAGGGATCTTCTGATTAAAAAATTTTTTGACGGAATGCAAAAAATATCACCTCTCTCTAATTTTGCAAATTAGTAGCAGGGTCATTGACCCTTTCATGGTATTTTTTTGCGAATTTAATTTTTGGGGGTTCATGCAAAATTCGAAGGTCAAATTTTTTTGTCCTTAAGTAACATTGTGTGTTTTTGATTCAGGTGATATTTTAATATAAATTTTGAATATTTCAGGTAATTTCCAGCGAATGGACACCTTAGTCAAAGTTCTAGTACGAATAGTTTTTGAGTTACATCAATATCAAAATCACAGGGTTGAAGGTGACCCTACATTTTGACCACCCTGTAGCATCTGACCTATTGACCCGGTGGGGCTGTAATTTTACTATTCCGAATTTTCGGACATTATAACCTTGCATGAAAAATTTCATCAAAGTCTGAGAATGTCCGGTGTCAATTTGTGAAATTTATGCTCGTTTTGTCATGGAATCACCCAGAATTCATTCTAGGTTATGAAAACTAAATTTTTGCATATTTTCCCACTTTTACGGGTATTCCATGTGAATTTGGATATGAATTTTTACCATCATTTTGGCTTTTATAAGCATATATTTATTTGCTTATTTCTGGATTTTTATTAGCACATACAAATCCATTCTCTAGTTATTAACAATCAATAGGTGGGCCAGACTTTTGACTCATCCTGTAAAAGGGTACCTTCCCCATGTAAGTTTTCCATCAAGCCTCTCTTTGGTGGTGTAGTAATTTGAGGGATCAGCATATGGTGATGAAAGCTCACATGTAATGGTTTCCTACATCAGCATGCAGATTTTTCATCTGCAGTTAGCCTTGTGTGCATATTCTAAGCTAATATTCTAAGCTTCCCTTCAGGAAGGGGTAGTATGGGACTGAATAACAATATCACAATGTTTAGCCATATTGCCAATAGGAAAAACACTGATCTATGACATAATATTAGGTTGTTCCGAAATAAATGTCCGATTTTCGAAGTGTAATGTTTTGTCTATCATTATACCTGTCAATTTTGCGATAACCAGTTATTGTTATATACCGTTTTTTTCAGCAAACCTTTCTCTATGTAAGCCACTTAGTTGCTTTTTATTTATCTTTAGCCAAACGTTCCTGTAGCTGCCAAAGCGAACGATGGAGAAACGCAACTTTCGTCCGATTTTTCTTTACGAGTTCAAACTTGGAACTAATGCTGCCGAAACGGCGAATAAAATCAACACTGAGTTCGGCCAAGGATCGGTCACGGATCGCACCATTCGACGCTGGTTCGAAAAGTTTCGTAACGGAGATGAGACTCTCGAAGAACAGGAAGGTAGAGGTTGGAAAGAGTCTCTTGACGACGCCGTTCTGAAGACTATGGTGGAACGTGATCCCCATGTAACGGTCCGAGAGCTTGCGGAAGAATTGTCTGTTGGCATCGCAACCGTTTCCCGTCATCTGAACGACATTGGAAAGACGAAGAAGATGGACAAATGGGTTCCGCACGAACTCACCGCGAGTAATCGCACTCGCCGATACGAGATCAGCTCCGCATTGCTTCTACGCAACACAAACGACCCTTTTCTCGACCGTATTGTTACGTGCGACGAAAAGTGGCTCCTGTACGACAATCGTAAACGATCGGCGCAGTGGCTGGACCGAGATGAGCCTCCCAAGCACTTCCCAAAGCCAAGCGCTCACCCGAAGAAGACTATGGTCACTGTATGGTGGACTTCAACAGGAGTGGTGCACTACCACTTTCTGAAACCTGGTGAAACAATCACAGCGGAGAAGTACTGTGACGAACTGGACACGATGCACGAGAAACTTCGCAAACTTCAGCCTGCATTGGTCAACCGAAGGGGGCCGATTCTGCTGCACGACAACGCCCGACCGCATGTCGCACATCTCACCGTACGCAAACTGAATCAGCTGGGCTACGAAACTCTGCCTCATCCACCATACTCCCCAGACATATCACCTACGGATTACCACTTTTTCAAACACCTGGATCACTTCGTCAAGGAGAAACACTTCCATGATCAGACCTCTGCCGAAGATGCCTTTAAGGATTTCATCGCCTCCAGAACCCAGGATTTCTACTCGACTGGGATCAACAAGCTTGTATCTCGTTGGCAGAAGTGTGTTGAAGCGGATGGTGCTTACTTCGATTAAAAATGTTCATTATCAGCTGAGTTACGACCCTTCAAAGTTTGCGATCGAATTCAGACATTTATTTTGGAACAGCCTAATATTATGAAAATCAATTAAGCCATAATTTTAACTTATTGGAATATCAGGATTTTTTTACTTATGCTATGTATTATTTCATGTTTAAAGGTCATAATTGTGTTAGAATCTTTTACTTTTTGAGGTTGGGTTTAGTATACATGTTTGAAGTTTCCTGGTATTTTAGGTTTGACGTGGCAGACCGGCAGTTCCACTCTATCCCTGCAGCATGGCAGATGTTGATGGAAAACCCATCAGATGTGAAGGAGCTAATTCCCGAGTTCTTCTATTTCCCGGAATTCCTGGTGAATGGGAACCGGTTTGACCTCGGACGTCTTCAGGGTGCATCCAGGGAGAAAGTGGATGATGTTGTCCTCCCTCGCTGGGCAGATTCTCCTGAAGATTTCATCAATAAGCATCGCAAGGCCTTGGTATGACATTGGGTCACTAACAAACATGTTTCTCACCAGTAATCGTTTTTGACATTTTTTTTCTCATCCTACTCTCTTGTATTGTTTGACTAAATTAGCTTGTTATCTTGAAAAATGCTGCTTCTTTTTTTTAGCTATCATGCTACCCCCCAGCCTTTCCAAACCAGATGATATCTGAAACTTTAATGAGTTGTTGCTGGATTTTGTACTTGAGACTTATCTTGATGTTTGGATGTTTTCCTCCCAGACCACAAATAGCTGTTATGAGTAGATATTGATTTATCTGACTGTTCTACCTGCTCTACAAAGGTGTTGACCATTGATTCCTTGAAAAATGAATTGTGTGGCATTGGGGAAGGGGGTCTTAATCCTTTATATTATTTGGTATTTGTGTTGACTGCGGGACTTACAGGAGTCGGAATACATATCAGCTCACCTGCATGAGTGGATTGACCTCATCTTTGGCTACAAACAGAAGGGAGAAGCTGCAGTACATGCCCTCAATGTCTTCTACTACTGCAGGTACAGCAATTCAAGGTTTTCTATTCAATCACAGTTACTGTATCTTCACCTCTTGGTTTTTTGTGCAGGTCCTTCGCTTACAAGGCATTCATTCTCTGAAGCTTTCAAGGTCTTTTTGTACAAATATACCTGAATATCTGTATTTGTCATTGGTCTCAATATTCTCAGTACCTAATTCAGAGATAGGTGATTTTTTTTCTCACTGATTTACCTGTGTCTTATCTCCTGTGTCAGGATGATTTTTGTTTGTGTTGATAGTGGTTGTTTGATGTTAGCACTGTCAGGATAGTAGAAAAAAAAGACCATCTTAGAATCATAATTTGTTTAATTATTGAAATTATCTGTGCTAGAACATGTTAACACTTTTAACCCCATACCCTTTATGTGGTGTCCCTTGTCCATAGCACACTCAAGTCACTGGGGTTGAAAGTGTTAATACTTCTGTTACCAAGTATCATGATTCTAAGACGTTTCAACACAATGATGGCCTGTGTATCCAAAGGATCATTTATGTAAATGACAGGGATGCAATTGGTCAGAGACCCACTTTTAACATTAATAGTAATTAATGAATGGTCTTATGTAAAAGATGGAATAACTTCAAATCCAGTGCATTAGCCAAGTTGAGCAGCATGGGCTCTGACATGTGGCACCTCAAAGAGATTTTAAAAAAAAGTAGAAATTGAAGGGAAAAGGAAGAGAAGAAAGAAGAAAGGTGTTGAGCCAAACAAGATTAGATGGTTGATACAATTAGAAGCAAGAACCAAGTTGGAAGTTGAGCCAATTCTTCAATGATTGATGGGAATCATGAGAAGGATGTGAATTATGGAGACCTTTGACCTTAATGCTGTTGATGGAATGATTTGGAAGACTGAAATATCATGTAACCGACTTATAAAATGTTGTATGAATTCTGCAGAGATGCTTTGCAAAATGATCACCCAAAATTGATCCAGTATCATGAATGTAAAATAAAAATAAAAATATTGAAGTTATTGAATATTGAAAAAAATATTTAAATATTGAAGGGCATGAAGTGGCCCCCAACTCCCAGATGGAGCTGGGGGCAATAATTTGGGTTTTAAATGAAGTTCTGAATATTTTTTTCTTGCTGGAAAGCTTAGTGTAAGGGGATAGGAGATAAGAAACATGTCACATCCAGACTGGAGAGTGAGGAAATTGATTTTGATTATGGTAATTGCGTTTTGAATAAGTGAATGAAAGATGGTCCCAAAAGGGATATAAGACAAAGTGTAGGGTTGAGTTTCATCATCTTCAGGGTCCAAGGTCTCCACCATTCACATACTTCTCAAGATTCATGTCAATCTTTGGAGTATTGGATCAAATTATTGCTCAATACTTGCTCCCCTGTTGTTATCAGCCTTCTCATCCATTTCTTGTTTGGATCCTGATCTCCTCTGATCTTGATCTTGTCTCCTTCTCCTTTCATTTTCTAGCTTTTTGTTGCATATGACACTTATGTTACTGATTCCAAGTGATTTTTTTTTTACCTGCTTTTGGTCTATTCTAAGAATTATAGTTATAAATTTACAACTGTAACATGAGGTAGCAAAAGTGTTAACTAACAACTGAACTGATTCTGATCTGAACTGATTCTGAACTGATTTCATGCAAATTCATGGCCTCTTCTTTAAATACCATCTAGAGTGGATACATAGCACAAAGTAGCTTTCCTCATATTGGTGAAATTTTCTCAACTTTCAAAACCTTGAGAATGTAAAGTAGCATGTTCTTGCACTGATAACTTCAATACTCTTCAATGGTACAATAATGACCAGAGGGAATGATCTCACAGTGATCTCAGACTTTAAGCTTTATCAGACTTTGTTGTAAAAATGCCTCTAGATCACCAGACAATTGTAAAGGAATACCCCCAAAATCCTTGTATTGAAGGGATTCACAGAAAGATAAATAATGCCATGAATACATTTTTATTTATTAATTAAAAGTGAGCTTAGGGGCCTTTAGCACTGGCACCTAGTTACATGGAAAATCTCCTTGTACAGGGTGTTTCACAAAAATGTTTATTTTGAATTGCCATAACATCTTCATTAGAATGAGCATTCACTTCCAACAAAAACAAAATCACAGAGAAACTCTAAAATTTTTGTTTTAGTGAAAAAAAAGTTCAAAATGAGCACCTCTAGCTGAAGAACAGCCTCAAAGATGTCTAGAGAAGTTTTGTACTGCTGCCTTCAGTACTTCCTGCAGAATGCCTCAAACTGCTGATTACCTCATTCCCTGGAGTTCTGTAATATTTGGCATGTCCTGAAGGGTTCATTCTTGCTGTATTCCCACAGGTAAAATTTGAGTGGACTGAGATCTGGGAATTGTGCTGGTCACTCAGTCATCTCACTGAGAAATGGGCCACCAAGCAAATCTCTCTCTCAGCCACTCAATACAAATGCGAGTAATATGGCAGGGTGCTCCATCCTGCTGCAAAAAAATATTCCATTTGTGCATATCAGGTATCACTTAAGAGGACATTTTTCTGGCCTAAAGTGCATCACAAATGGAATATTTTTTTACAGCAAGATGGGGCAACCTGCCATACTGCCCACATTTGTCTTGAGTGGCTGGGAGATTCGCTCAGTGACCCATTTCTCAGTGAGATGACATTGAGTGACCAGCACAATCCCCAGACCTCAGTCCATTCAACTTTTACCTGTGAGTACAGGAAGAATGAACCCTTCAGGACATGCCAAATATTGCAGAACTCAAGGGAACGTGGCAGTTGGCAGTTTGAGGCATTCCACGGGAAGTATTGAAGGCAGCAGTACAAAAATTCTCTAGATGTCTTTGAGGCTGTTCTACAGCTAAAGATGTTCATTTTGAACTTTTTTTCTCTAAAACAAAATTTTTAGAGTTCATCTGTGATTTTTGTTTGTTTGAAGTGAATGCTCATTATAATGAAGATGTCGTTCCAATTCAGAATGGTAAACATTCTTGCAAAACACCCTGTATTTTAAGCTTTTATCATTCTGACATAAATTATTTCAGGTTATGTGATGTCATTGCCAACTTGAAGCAACCAGGTTTAACCCTTTAACAGGGGAGTATTTTCTATATCCTCTTCATATTCAGGAGGGTTTTGAGCATATTTCAAGTTTAAAAAGAAGTCATATCTTTCATTATCAGGGGAGCATGCGAGGGTTACCCCAAAAGTAATGACTCCAATTTTTTTTCTCCGTTACCTTTAATCCTTAGTCTATGAAACATGTGCACATAATCACTTGGAATGTTGGGAACAATATGTTATTTTCCCATGTACTCACCGTTTCTTTGACAACATTTCTACCGACGATGTTCCAGGGCATGTATGCCACTACAGTAAAAAGTTTCTTGGCCTGCCTCTTCTCGGTTTCTTGAACTCAAATGTCATTCTGAAAGTGATGTACACAAATAGTGTCCTTGAAGGGTCAAAAGAGGATGTGATCTGACAGGGCCAAGTCTGGACTGAAAGGAGGATGAGGAACAAGTCAACAAGTCATGCAGTAGGTCTGGAAACCTTTTACTGTAGAGGTATGCAAGCCCTGGAACATCACTGCCAGAAATGTTGTCAAAGAAATGGTGATTAGGTGGAAAAATAACACTTTGATCCCAACATTCCAAGTGATTCCAAGTAAGGGTTTCATGGACTAAGGATTAAAGGTAATGGAGAAAAAAAATTGGAGTCATTGCTTTTGGATCGACCCTCGTATTTCCATTGTTCTTGTGCTTCTCTCTTTGAAAGACCTTTGGCAAAACTATCCAATATGCAGCAAAATTGGAAGAGATGAAGAGGCATTTGGGGTGAGATTTTTGAGTAATTTGAAAAGTTATTAATTTTGATTCCTCTTTTTGAAATCATGATCAAGGCTTTAATTTCTGGAAACCATACAAATAATTGTAAAGATGAAGCAAAATATTCTTCTGCAAGTGTCAGATATCCATGTTTATTTTACCAAAGACCATTACATAGTTTAAAATGCATTTCATTTTGAGAAGTCCTTTTTCAAGAGAGTTTTACTCCATTATGCAGTACTTTACACAGCCTTTTTTAAGAAAGCCCCCAACTGCATTTGATATTTGAGTTTTGTTCCACATCATGAGAGCAATTTAATATCAAGTGTCAATGACATTGATGGGCTGATTCAGCTATGAGGGTGCAGTGGACCTGGATGCAATCTCAGATCCCCGGGAGCGTGCAGCCACAGAGGGGATGATTAACCACTTTGGCCAGACCCCTTGCCAGCTGTTGAAGGAACCCCACCCAATGCGAATGTCTGCAGCAGAAATCCAGGCCTGGGCTGCTAAGGAATCTCGCAACCGTATCCCACCTTCCTTGCTCTCCTTCACCCATTCCCTCAAGACTTCCATCATTGAGGTCTTGTCTTTTCCTGCAGTATTTCTTACTTTATTCTGCTTTATGGATGGTACCATGCAGAAGGAGCTTCTAGTTTTGATCTCAACATCAAGCCTTCTACTCTTGATGGGAACAGGTTGGAGGGGGAGGGAGTGATCCATGTATATGGGTTGGGATTCCACAACCCCTGGCCAAATCCTTCTTGCACCAGGTCACAGGTGACACCCTCATATCATTGATGGCTTCAGGTCTCCTGGGCACCCACACCTGGTCACCATCCCAGTCCCAGCGCACCTCCACTCTCCAGAGCACTACATTCTCTTTTGAGCGAGACCCCACACTCATGAACCCCAGGTTTGCCCTCCATCCAATCAGTCCAGTTTTTCATAACTCTGTAGGATTGATTTTGGTCAAGAAAAAATCATGTTAAGATTCAGAGTTTAAAATGTAGAGCCTATAGGAGAGAGGGAAGAACTAAATAGTGCATAATTGAGTGCTTTTGTTTTATGGTTGTGGATGGGGGGAAAATACAGTGTTCCAAAAGCTCAATAGGAATTTCTCAGTTGAATAGATCTGATATGTTTTTGATAATGTAATGTATTTGATAAAAAGGTTATACTTTTATTTGGTAGATAATATCTGAACTATGCCACAAAGTGTACATAGAAATTCAGATCACATCTGGATGGCCTCTTGTAAAGTTCTAATAAAATAGGGTAAAGTCACAAAATGGAGTTCAAATGCTTTCTCAACTTTTTAATGTTCAGCATTTCCTACAACTGTCTTGTTAGCTTCTCTGTTGTCACTGCTATTGGGATATACTACCTCTGTTCAGCTAGAGGTTGTACTTCTGTTGGCTGGGCAGCTGCATCCCTTACCCTGTAGGTGACCTGATGTCTTTGGATGCTGACACTCTGTTGGTACTCAATTCCCAATAAAACAAAACCTAGCCAAATGCCAAGAAGCTGTCTGTGCCATTAGCTCCTTCACCAAGCAATATGGCCTCCTAAATGCTTCAAAGGCAAAAACTTGTCATTGACTTCTGGAGGTCACATTTCGGGACATCCTGACTCACCAACTAGAAATTGACTGCAAGAAAAACCAATGCAGTAATCAGATCTCATATCTGGTTACTGTAAGAAAACCTGAAATCGGGATCTGCAGATGAAAAAAATGACACACTTGCAAAGAAAAACCTTTGATGCTCCAAAAACTCTTGAAATTAACCAGTGCCTTCAAAGCATATCTTCAGAATGCATGCACAGCATATCTTCAGAATTGCTTATTTTACCCTCACACCAAGTACATCAGTACACTCTGAGGTTGAAACTTCAGGGATTCAATTGGATCAACTGGAGAGGGTGAACCCTACTGCTACACTGGTATGCAATGGGGCTTTGAGGTATATTGGTATTTTCATCATACCACAGTATTCTGGTCTCATGATAATCATACCGACCCCTTTCACTTCTTTCTATATTATTGCCATGGTACAAAAACCATGGAATACCACCTATATTCATATCGCCACAATGGTATGGAAACCATAGGACACTACCTATAGGGTGTCCATAAAGTGACTACCGATGGGCAACCTTTTTATCATAGATTTTTGAAGTAGCCTTCTTTTTTAGTTTGTAGATTGACAACCTCTGAATATTGTCAAATCTTTCCTTCCTCCACTTTGGCATGGCCAATAATTTATTTCCCACATCTAGTGTTTTAAGATATTTTTATTCATTTGAATGAAAAAGAAATGCAGGCAAAAATTTGAGGAAAATTTGCCATTAGACCTTATTACAGCAACTTTTTTTTAATCATCATGGTATTGATTAAAATATGGAGTACTTTTAGGAATTAAAAATCATGAAAACTAGGAGTTTCCTTAGCAAAATGTGTCAATTAGTTTACCTCCTAATTCCAGACATTTCTGAGCTCTGGCAATTGGATTGTTGGCAACATCTGTGAGAATTCTGTAACTTTATGGCACAAAACACAAGACATTCTCTTTCAAGTTTTCATATTTGTGGGCTTGCCCTCCACAATGCCTTTCAAGTAGCCCTAGAGAAAAAATTAGAAGAGGTCAAAACCAGATATTGTGGGGGTCATTTTCCCTGGCTGACAACTTGGAATGCTGTACTGCATAGTTCTGAACCAGTATTTGAAATAAAGGTTTGGTAAATGAATTCTCAGCCACACCAGATTGCTGGAACAAAAGATGTGATACCATTCCAAGGTTGGTTGATAATTTCCTACTTGAAAAAGTTGCTCATAGGTAGTCACTTTATGGAAACCCTGTATAATCATACCACCACCAAAACACCACACTGAGAATAATTTCTCAATTTAAAAAATCATCCTGTAAACTATCCTCCCCACCTTCATCCATGGTGACACCCACCTCCTGGGGAAAACTAAAACCTTCCTGGAAGTCACAGGAATGTATTTACAGTAATCTGGACTCATGGGCCATCACTTGTGGGTTTGACTTGCTCTTTGATTGTGCCCTTGGTTCGTACATCTTGGTGTGTCTGAGCACACCCCCCCCCCCCCCTCCCTCTGTTCCTCTTTGGTATCATTGAAATATCACGGTATTGAGCCACAGTATACCTACTGAGAAATTTATTGCATACTGCAATGCTGTAGTATGCAACACTACAACTGGTATCCCTTGCATGATCAATATTATACTGCAGTGTGCACTGGTTTTGTGCCAGTGTTGACCCCAACTTATTTATTGACTGATCTGTTCTATCTGACTTCTTACTAGTGGGTAGGTGTCTTCTCAGCCAGAATATAATAAAAAAACAAAGCAAAGTTGCATAACCCCAGGTTATGCAACTTTGCTTTGTTTTTTTGTGTTTAAGGCTTTGAAGCAAAAATGCTTTTGTCATCAGCAGTGAAATATCACATAGGTGCTTTTATGTATTCCTTGTTCCAGTGTGTCTGTAAACCTGTAAGCCTGTAAGTAATTTTCTTGGAATTGGTTATCATGCTTGGGTTATGAGAAGCCTCTGAATACACAACAATCTGCTTGCATTTTGCTGACACTTTCTTCTTCCTGAAAAAAATTGTTAAGGCTGTTCATTGTGAATCTTTGGAGAAAACTTAGGAAGTGGGCTTTTTGCCGGTTTGAAATCAAATGTGTTTTTTTTTTTGCTTTGGGTTCTGGCTGTGGAATGTTGGGAATACGAATATTTAACCTGCAGTTTGGGGCAACAGAATGCTTGCACTATTTCATGCTTTTTTTTATCCCCTAAGAAAGGTTATTGAATAACCACCAAAAACAGTGGTGAATCTCATTTCCAGACTGTGTAACAAATGTAACTGTAGCTAAATAACTTTTCTGCAATTCCCTCAAAAAATGACCTGTCACTTTCACTATTAGCAAGAGATTTCAAAAGCCAGTCTTTTTTTTTTTGGTGCTCTTCAGAATGCAGTTATATTCAGTAGGCATATGACAAAAGTATAAACTAGCCAAAACCCGTGCGGGTTCCAACTCAGCTAATGTCATCACTTCGCTCCTCCTAAACCAAGACCTTATGACCCGGTTAAAATACCGGCCATTTTGTTTCTCTTTCTCTCTCTCTCGTAGTTGACTTCTTTGTCATATTGTACCAACAGTGTTCCTCACACATATCCCAAGGTACCATATTTGAAACATTCAGTTCCGCTCCTATAGGATTCATTCCCATTCATTCTCGCCACTTCTGCACCCTGTGCCTACCTGCACCCCGCTCTACCTTGATTCCTTCTGGGATGTGCATTTGGTCCTACCCCTATTCTTTGACGTTCCACCTGTAGAGATGGGAGTTTTTCGTGCTCAGTGTTTTATCCCAAAGACTTGGTGCTTATATCGGAGAGAAAGGTCCAACTCGATCACATATTGAACCCCAGTTCCCTGTCACTTGTGCCCAACACGCTTCCAATTGAGCCATTGATTTTTTTGTTTCAAAGGGAGAGACAGGAAGCTGAAAATAAATATAAATGTGGCTAATGATATGCTAATTTAAAGAAAATTTTCACTTAAAAAATTTTATCCCTGGGGGCATAATATTTGTGGGAAACAATTCTGAATAAATTTATTTTGGTTCCAGCAAAACGGACTATTATATAGTGCTGGGATAAATTAATTCAAGAAAATTCTTAATTTAGTCGTACATGCCCCCAGGGCATATAGTTTGGTTGTAAAAAGCTCTCTGAATTTTTCTGCGGCCATCTTAGAGGTCTCTTTTTTTTTTTTAGCTGGGGGAGAGAAATTAATAAACTTGTGCAATTTCGCTCAGAGAAAGCTGAAGCTCTGTATTCAGGATAAACTCAGGTGACAATTCCGGGGAGATGAAGAATCTCTGCCTGATTCATGTTCCTAACATTAGGTTGGAAATCACTTCACACGAGCAGGAATAGCTTAAACCTAAAATAAAAAATACTAATGACCCAAGGAGTTTTACCCAATTTTCTGATATGAGAAACGAAAAGGGATGCTTCAAATGTATTATTATTAATTTTTTCTTGGAGCACACAGCGCTGAAAGCGCGTTCATAGCAAGTTAGTAATATAGATTAGAGACAAATCGATACCGGATTTTACTGATTTTGCAGATTCCGATATTGGCCGATGTAATACTTTCAGATATTTCAGCATAAAACCATTTTGAAGATTCATCAGCACAGCTTCATTTATTTAAAAAATATCCTTAACCTTGGTGAAAGAACAACCTTTCTGCATTTTCCGGATGTTTCTGTCATAGAGCATCTCTTGAAATACTCCTGCAAGATACTGACCAGCATGAAATCCTACAAGAGGATAGACAGACATTTCTCTATGCTGAATGTCATTTCCACTCTTGTGAAATCCAGTACTGTCTGGCTCATCATGGATTCATTGAAGACGTGAAATAGCCATTCAGCCTGGGATACTTGCATTCCATGTTTTACGATCTTCAGCTTTGGCGCGATGTTATGTAGAGCAGTAGTGTTACCGGAGCTTCTGGACCAGATGGGTTGAGTTGAATTTTTAACTCGTTAGGATGTTTCTTATTGCGTGGCAAGATTGGTCTAAATGGTGCTACGGAAGATGAGATTTCCACATGAAGTACATTAAATTTCTTTTTTAGTACTACCAGTAAATTGCCATGCCCGATTTCCAGGGGGGGGGGGGGCAAGTGCCCCCCCTTGCCCCTGGGAGCGGACGCCCATGCTTCGGTCGAACCTCTGACACTCCTTTCAAATTTCTACTGATGTGGAAACAAACAATAAAGTTGGAGGAAATTAGGTAATAGGAAAGTTGGTATCATGTGGAGACACCGTCGATAAGAATTTCTCTTTTTACCCATTCTCTTACCGTGAGGAGCCGACTTTTTTATTTATTCCAGAGCACTCCCATACAGTCGACAGTGTGGGTAAGACTGTCCCAACACCTTCACCACTGAAGACTGAAGGGAAGAAGGAAATCGTGAAACTCACCGAGACTGGCTTGGAGGGAAGACAGGAAAAGGAAAAAGAAGACGTAGGGCACGGCCATGATGGAAAGACAAGGAAGGCACTGAATTTCCCCTGATGACGGAGAGACTCTCGTTGCGGACCATCCATACCCTTATCTCACTGCATTCATCCCATATCTTCACACGTATCACCTCTTCACGGAGGAAGGAGCGCAACTGCGTCATACACGATTCCTATCCATCGGGAAACGATGTGTCCACCTCATCTGGACGTGAGGACAAGAGGGAGGCGATTGACTTTCAGCCTGATCGTCTTGGCGAAGCTTACCCTCAAAAACTTTCAGTGTCAAATGAAAGTGCTATGGCCATCGGCTGGGCAACACAAAATGTTGTGCCACAAGGCTGATGATGAAGAAATGTGTCAACTGATGTTGTAAGATCTGCCAAATGACACACTGAAGTGCGTCAAGACTCATGACACATAATATCATGTCGCCCAGGTTATAACCCAAACGTGTAAAGGGAAACCAGATGTGAAGAAGTAAAGCGGAGAGGAGTCTCCAAATAAAGAAATGTCTCCAAATGGTAATTTTTAACACATTCTCCACTGTTCAGAGGGGCGAGAGTTCACCTCCAAAGAAATTCCATGCAAATAAAAGGAGTTTATCATATGAGTATATAATAAGAAACCAAGGAAATTAAGAGTTTAGAAGAATTTGAATGGCATTCATTTCTGATCCCAGTCTCTTTCTTTGGGCTAGAATTAGTAGCTGCAGCTATTGTTGTTACAACTGATGTGAAGAACCTTACACTTACCGTTATTAAACCTCGCGAACCATTTCCTACCACACTCGTCCAAAAGCTTTAAATCCTGCTCGGCTCTCCCCCTGTCCACCCTCCGATGAAGAAACCAATTTTAGTATCTTTGGCAAATTCGTTTATTTTCTGACTAAGCCTTCATCTAAATCGTTAGTGTAGATCAGAAGGTGAAGCGGTCCCGGGATCCCGCCCTGAGGGACACCGCTTGCAACTTGTGGGAACACGAGGTCAGGAATCTCCCACGAGCATCAGTACATCCATGGGAGATCCAATGGCAGAAATTTGCAAATCCATGAATCCTGAGGAAGTTCTGGTGTTCTGTCCCGTGGATAGTCTTGGGGTATCCCGTAGCACCGTCGACGAAAATTCGAAGAATCATTTCATTGGAATATCATTGTATTAGTACATTGCAGCAATACGGTTCAAATTGTCAAAATTTTCAAAAACTTTGTTCACCAAGAGAAAGAGAAGGCACATCGCGAAATGGGGATCTGTGTTTTCATATGTGGTTAAAGGATATTTATCTCTTTGAACAGCCGATCCACAGCTGGTTTCACCCCTTTCAGGTCATATAGCCTTGTCTTGCACACGGTTCGAGTCGCTCACTGAGGTGTCTGAGAACACGATCCTCTCCGTCGGAAGGAAAGATGAACAGCGAGAGGAAGAGGAGAGAGGCAAGGGGGAATTGCATCTTCATTCCGAACAACTTCATAGCTCCGTCAAGGTCGGCTCCATTATGGACGAACTAAAAAACATCACATCGAGACTGCAGTGGATATCCAAGTTGTGTCGTGTGTCCACTCATTTTAACACTTAGATGACACGCAATGTATTATATTTTCGCGAACTCGAACGGAAACGTACGTCTCCTCGACCCGAGCGCTATCGTTACCGTATCCAGAGCAACAGAAGGAGAAGACATACTCCCTGAGTCAGAACGATCCAAAGAGAGACATTCCGAACCAGTACCGGTACCGTTAGGTTACCGTCCGCTCGTAGGTGGGAGAGACTTACTGATGGCTGGCGATCGGCGAATAGGCGGGTTTGGAGGAAGACTCCGTTTGCGAGGATCTGCGAGGGACGCCTCCTGTAGAAGGGAAGGAAAAAGAAAAAAGGCAGCGTCTCTATCTGGGGAAGACAAAACGTCCCTTCCAAAACTGCAGCTTCTTCCTTTTGTCCCTCCCCTAAATGACAATGCGGATTAGGACCTTGTGCATCTACCCAATGGTATGCTCGGTGGCTCTCGTGATGAAAGGGAGCCCCTAGGAGACGGTTGAGGCTATAGTTTTGGGCGTCGGCCGATCGAATGAATCTGGACGAAACGCCAGTGTCCATGTGAATCCCACGCGGCCGAATGAAGGACCAATCCAAGAACATATGCACTTTTAACTCCTTTACATTTCATGCACTCATCCGAGCACCTCGACGCACCCTAGCCTCTATGCCTAACTTCCATTTCCATCAATCCGAATTAACGAGTTCTTTAACGGTAACATCGGGTCGGCATCATCGACCACTTGGCAGTGCTTAAGACAGCATGGCTGTGTCGACTTGAGGGTAAAATGCACTCTTTCTTTTTATTTCACCAAGTGTTTTGCTTGAGGGAGTGAATTTGCACCCAAGGTATTACGCAGACCGTGAAGTACTTCTGATTCAGGAATTTTTTTTCTTCCATTATAGCAGGACTGTTTCTGCGACTAAAATGAATAAAAGGAGATGAAAGAATGAGATTAACTTTTCGAGGAGTTGGAAGATGCCGCATCGCCAGGCGAGAACGGCAACGATGACGATGAAAGTGAGCCCCGCGCCCACGAACATCCACCATGGGAAATACTCGCACTTCGTGTTCAGGTCGATCTGCGCATTTCATCGAGACGCTTTCCTCTGTCTGTTACGTTCCGAGGAAAAGTGACAGTGATGGAGAGCTGACCTTGGCCGCGGCAGCATCTTCTATCCACTTTTTGTACGGATCTCCTCCGATGATGGCGCGGAGTTGGTCGTTGCGAAGGATGTATTTACCGCCGTCGTCGGATGCATTGACCTTGATCTGTGTCTTCATGCACTCATTCCCATCCCCGAAACATCTCGGGCAATCGGTGATTCGCATCCATATCTCGCGGTACCTGTGCAGTACGATCATCGTGAAACCACCTCGTTCCTCGTGCCCATTCACCCTCCTTTTTTCAACGAGTACTCATTGAGGTGTATCGCTCGTAACTTCGGTTTGATCATGCAAAAAATTTCGTCTGTGCAAAACGGTCGGAACGGAGAGCCGGGGATTGCTCTTTCCTGCCAGAGATTCCGAGCGCCACCAGTCCACATATGGAAAATTCAAATATCCTTGACTTTTGACCCCCTCTAATCAACGAATTTTGATCGGGCCATCAGTGACTTTTAGTTAACACGTATATAAGCCATGTCTGGGCCATCACTAACAGATGGTTGGCTAACAGTTAGGTGAAGCCGAAATATGGTCAGACATGTGTGGCTAGTCCTTCATCGGGCTAAACGTGGTTCATTGTTGGAAACAGAAAAAATTATGAAACCACAACTGTCATACATCTCGGAGAAGTAACTTCTACCCAAACTGCACGTTTATGTTAATTTTACGTAAACTGAATGTAAATTTGTTGTCCATTTTATATAAATTTTACACAAATCAATGTCAAGAAAATGTCAACATGTTTGCAGAAATGTCACCTAAGTGATATGTTAACGGTGATATAAAATTAACGTAAATTTTATGTAAAACTGATATTCCCGTTTGCATTGCAAGCAGCATGTTTACATTCATTTTACATAAGATTTATGTTAATTTTACCTTGGCGTTCATGCGTATTTAAAGAGTCAATTAGTACTATTGAAGAGAATTGATATACTCAATCTCCTATTCCTTTACATTCTTCAGAACTCTAGGGTTGTTGGACGAGTACACGAGTACCCATCCTCACCAACACTCAAGAGTACCAAAGTGACCTACTGCTTTCTCCTCCCGTACCGGAACCTCGGGAGGAGGAGTAAATGTTCAAAGGAGCTCTCTTCCTTTTAGAATAGAGAAAATGTAGTACTTGTGGGGCTGGGATTCTACTCTTCCCTAATCCAGTGCACTGCTGTAATAAAAAGCTTAACCTTAGCATTTAATGATTCCCCGAGTCATATATTATAAAAAAATATATATAATAATTTTATGTTTTCCATATATATATTCATGGATTGCATAATTGTCAGATGGAGTGACGTCTAGTTGATGTAAATACACGTACACTTTGGTGATGTAAATATAGGAACGTAAATTTTAAGTAAACGTGATGTCATTTTCATGGCAATCGCAAGAAATTTACATTGTTTGCGTAAAATTGATATCTTGTTTACGTGAACATGCTGTTTGGGTAGTCATTTGGCAAAAACCAACCTCTTCTCTCACCAGCATTTCATCTTCATCTGGGCGTGGTACAGGTAGTACTTCAGTGAAGTCTCTATTTTCTATGACTTTTTTGACAGCAAAGATTAATCCTCAACAGAAGTTGCTAGCTTCGACCTGCCAAGAAAGCAGTGGACCATGCTTAACCGCATCCGCACCTCACACGGCCGTTGCGCAATGAAGGGACGATGGATAACTACGGCACGAGTGTGGCTTGGTCAGTCAAATTTGTTGCCGAAGATGGGCCAACCTCCTCAGCTATGGGCCGAGGATAGACTAACGAAAAACTTTCAAAAATTTTCGCTGGTCTATCTGGTTTAAATATTCGTTGGTCTAGGTCGTCCGCTCCAGAAAGATGATATCAGATAATATTTTTAACGATTCAACGCGATGACTTGTATTCGAAAATTTCATTCAGAAATGAAAGATGATTGTGCAAAGAATATTTTGAGACAGATGGCCTTCCGAAACGACTCATAGCAGCCACGTCTCAAAATTCAACGATGCATATTGCAGCATCTGTAGAAGGTGAGTAGTGGATGCGACGATTTTATCAGTCAGCTTTTCGGCGTGCTTTTGCTGCCGAATGGAAATATCTTTTCGAATCCCTTACATGAAGGTAGGAGAAAAGATCTTTGGGGGTGAAACTCGAGGCAATAGATAGCCCACCGCACCTCACGATTCGCTTAGACCATTTGTCTAAAGCCACGTACGGACCCGTACGAGGAAACAGGCATCGAGGAGCTGTGTTACTGCACCGGTGTCGGTTCGTAGGGGGATGGGTTAAACGAATCCATCTCGCTCGGTGGATCGATTCCCGGGCAGGATTGCTTTCCTGCAACGTCACGCGGCACTGACCAAGAGGAAAAGGCTATT